TGACCACAGTCGAATGGTCAGTGAGCTGGCCCTTAAAAAAAAAGAAAAAAAGTCTAACCCCCGGGTTCACATATATGTGGCCATGCGAGCCATGTTTTGCACAGGCACGAGAGCCAGTCATTTGAATGGATTCCTGTGCCTGTGACACACAGGGAAGAAGTCCCTGACTTCTTTGCAAAACGCAGCCCACAAACCTCGGTTCCCAGTACGGTTGCGTTTTCCAGTGTGGGCAGCCGTGCCGTTAAAACTAATGGCACCCTCTGTGCGGCATTTCTGTGCGGCTGCACGGATTCTCGCGCGGATCCGCAGCGGCACCACCCGCACAGATGTGAACCTAGGGTAACACCTACCACTAAAAACCAACAAACAGAGGGCGCACCAGCCTAGTGCATTACCCCATGTGCTACAAGTCCAGCAATGGAAATCTGGCGACAGTCACATCTCCATCATTTAATATATTGACGCTATGGGGCTTACTTACTAAAGCTGGAGAGTGTAAAATCAGACTCGCTTCTGCATTGAAACCAATCAGCTTCCAGATTTTATTGCCAAAGCTTAACTGAACAAGCTGAGGTTAGAAGCCGATTGGCTTCTATGCAAAAGTGAACCTGATTTTGCACGCACCAACTTTAGTAAATAACCCCTATGCGTTTGTGAGTATGTGATTTGCTTTATTTTTTTTTTTTATCAATAAAGCGATTATGTAGGTAAGGCCGTTGCACCCTGTTTTTTTTTTTTTTTGTTTTTTTTTTTAGTGTTGCATGCGAAGGGACACCCACAGTCCTAGGAGGACAGCAAGGAATTACAGCGCAAGACTGTAGGCTGAAACACTGTATACCCTACCAAATGCAAAGCACCGCATTCAAGCGCAGGAGGATGTTTTTAATGTCATATCTAAGACCTAACCTGACCAGGGACGATATAAGAGGAGGACAGCAGAATAAATAAACAGTGGGTGGGTAATGGTCCTATTTAATGCAGCACCAGTTCCTGGCTGGTCCTATATTGCATGGATATTATCACAGCCAGCAGTTTTCTCCCAAATAATTAATTTAAATGCCCCATATTTTGTAGCGTGGGACTTTAGAGGGATGGGGTTGTTGGGTCTACCACATATCCTACCCGACAGGACAGACTAAAGGAGAGCAGAGACAGCCAAGCAGGACATAAGAAGACCCCAAAATTATGGAGGAGCTGAGTATACAGCCCACCATCATAAGTCCAGGAGCGAATTGCAACATCCATGAGCACAGGACGAAAGACACCACACCTCAGGAACACGTGGTCCAAAATAAAAAAAAAAAAAAAAAAAAAAAAAAAAAAGGAAGGGAAAAAAGGGGGGGGGGGGGGGGTACAGATCATAGACAGCATATAACATAGTGTGTTAGAAAAGGAACAACATGCCAAACACGGGAACTGCAGATGCATCATTTTGGAGGAGATTAGAAGAACAAGAAAAGCAAGGACAGGGGTAAAAACTAGAAGGAGGTGGTGTACAATGTGGTGCGGTGAATGTTTGGGGATAGGAAAGGGGACGGTGGCAACACAGGCAGTGCGGGTAGGACAAAAAGCTGGAGGTTATAAAGAGGGAATCAAAAGTTATATACAGGATCGGGGGGGGGGGGGTGCCATTACAAGTAAACAGGTCAAGGAAATGTTAAGTGTTTCCAGTCTAAGGATTGCAGAAGAAGCATCTATTTACCTAAAACAGAAAATGCAGCCAACACGGATAACACATCATTCAATGAACACACCTGTATGGTTCACCGTCTGCACACTAAACATTACAAGTTATGTCAGCCTAACTAACTCGAGTCTCCATTGCCGGCACCTCTCAGCCATCCATACTGTCCACTCACACACAAAAACATGTTCCCCGCTTCTGGGGGAGTCAGAACCCTCCCGCACACAAGTCCTCCACCTATGGAGGATCAGAACCCTCCCCTTCACATATGTCATCAGGTGGATCAGAACCTTCCTCTTCACATACGTCATCCTCCACCTATGGAGGATCAGAACCTTCCCCTTTCACATATGTCATCCTCCACCTATGGTGGATCAGAACCTTCCCCTTCACATACGTCATCCTCCACCTATGGTGGATCAGAACCTTCCCCTTCACATATGTCATCCTCCACCAATGGGGGATCCGACCCTTCCCTGTACGTGTCATTCACCTATGGAACATCAGAACCCTCTTCTCTGCACATATGTCCTCCACCTATAGTGGATCAGAACCATCGCCCACACACATGTCCTCCCATTTATGAGGATCAGAACCATCCTCCTACACATACATTCTCAACCTATAGTGGATCAGAACCTTCCCCTGCAAATATATGTTATTCACCTATGGGGGATCAGAACCCTCCCCTACACATACATCCTCCATCTGAGGGATCAGAACCATCACTCACACATATTCTCCATTTATAGGAAGGATCACAACCATCCTCCTACACATACATTCTCAACCTATGGGGGATCAGAAGCTTCCCCTGCACATATGTCCTCCACCTATGGGGGATCCGACCCTTCCCTGCACGTCATTCGCCTATGGAGGATCAGAACCCTCCTCTCTGCACATAAGCCCTCCACCTATAGTGGATCAGAACTTTCCCTTGTTCTTCACCTATGGGGGATCAGAAACCCTCCCCTACACATACATCCTCCATCTCTGGAGGATCAGAACCATCACCCACACACGTCCTCCATTTATAGGGAGGATCAGAACCATCCTCCTACACATACATTCTCAACCTATGGGGGATCCGAAGCTTGCCCTGCACACATGTCCTCCACCTATGGGGGATCAGAAGCTTCCCCTGCACATATGTCCTCCACCTATGGGGGATCAGAAGCTTCCGCTGCACATATGTCCTCCACCTATGAGGGATCAGAAGCTTCCCCTGCACATATGCCCTGCAGCTATGGGGGATCAGAACCTTCCTCTGCACATATGTCCACCTATGGGGGATCCAACCCTTCCCTGCACGTCATTCACCTATGGAGGATCAGAACTCTCCGCTACACATACATCCTCCATCTCTGAGGAATCAGAACCAATCACCCACACATGTCCTCCATTTATAGGGAGGATCAGAACCATCCTCCTACACATACATTCTCAACCTTTGAGGATCAGAACCTTCCCCTGCACATATGTCCTCCACCAATGGGGGAATCACAACCTTCCCCTGCACATATGTCCTCCACCAATGGGGGATCACAACCTTCCCCTGCACATATGTCCTCCACCAATGGGGGATCACAACCTTCCCCTGCACATATGTCCTCCACCAATGGGGGATCACAACCTTCCCCTGCACATATTTTCCCCACTGTTGGAGGATCAGTACCCTCTCAGTTATGTCCTTCACCTAAAGATGGTTACGGCACGATTGGCCAATTCTCGGAGGATGTCCTCCTACACATACATTCTAAACCTATGGGGGATCTCTGAGCTATGGTAAAAAAAAAAAAAAAAAAAAAAAAAAAGAAAAAAGCCGGCAATTGCATTTAAAAAAACGACACCGACATATAGTGACAGCCAGTTAGGGAGACTCTCTGTATACACTGTTCCTCTCCTGCCCTCTCCTTGCACACTGCCACCCCTCACCCCTACAAAGGAGGACCTGTCACTTATATACCATCACATTATGGGACCAATAGTCCCATACATATATATATATATATATATATATATATATATATATATATATACATACATATATATACATACATACATATATATATATATATATACATACACTCACACATATATACACACACACATATATACACACACACACATATACACACACACACATATACACACACACACATATACACACACACACATATACACACACACACATATACACACACACACACACACACACACACACACACACACACACACACACACACACACATACACACACACACACACACAAAGTAGAACAAAAACACAAGAAGAAATTGGAGCCGCCGCACCCCCCCACATACACAGACATTTCGGTTCGGTTTTCGGCCATATGCAATTGTGAATTTTCAGTATCGGGTTCAGCACCAGAATTTTCATTTCGGTGCACCACTATACGAAAATTCTTATGCAAGTTTATGAAAAGCCCCAGAAACTCCTAAACTGTCAGCCAGCTTTAGAGATCTTCCGATACGTCTTCCAGGATCAAAGCCTAGATGACAGTACTACATTAGCTGACATCATAGAAGAAACCCACTCAAAGCATACGCTGACCACTTCCACCATTCCCCGCTGACTCTGCTATCCAATAGACTTTTTTTCTACGCTGCCGCAAAATAAAACAGACAACACAACTGTACAATTACATTTATGAGAGCAAACATCCCAAACTGGGACCCCGCTCACGCTCATCCCCCACACCCACACTGGGACCCACACGCTCATCCCACACTGGGACCCACGCTCATCCCACACTGGGACCCACACGCATCCCACACTTGGACATCCATCCCACAATCGAGCACCATCCACACATGCGCTCTGCGTACAGAAGACAGGAGGCAGCGGTGTTATGACAGGGTGAGGGACATGCAGGAGACCGTTATGGCTCTTGGTGAGACAATCACAAGAAGTGACCACCAGCTGCCCTGACACACACAGCGAGGGAGGGGCTCCACCCAACTTTGTAGACATTCAATTGATATTTCAGGCAGGATCTGCACCCCCCCCCCCCCCCCTCAGGCAGGGCAGATAACACACAGCTGTTCAAACACTGCGGTGGGTAACAATGGGACACGAAAAATCCAGACCATGAGGCATTTCTTGGATACAGATGTTTAAAAGTGCCAACAGGAATTATGAATGCAGATGAGAAATGCCCAGCTGTGTGCAATCAGCAATCCTAATGGAATATTATTCCTGCTGAGGGTTCTGTAGGTGGAGTTTTTGGGGTGGAGCAGCTGCCCTCCCTCTCATTGCTGCGCTCCTGGATGTCATGATGAGGGTCTGTACTTACCCCGCTCCATTCCACGCCTCCCATACTCACTTCTTCTGCCCCCTCTGTGCCACCCTCGTACTTCACACTACTACGGCCTGATTCGCGCCCTTTTCTTCGTTGTTCGGGGGTCTCGCCATCTTTTAGAAGTTGGGCGACTTTAGTTTGATTGACAGGATCTAGTCCCTAGACAAAGAGAATGAACATGGTGAATTCACCCACTTGTATCATCATCGTCCATTCCCATCCTGACAGAAGAAAAAGGGAGAAGATCATCCTCCCCATTCCAGATGTATCTCAGCCCCATTTTGGATGTCTCCCATCCTCCAACATTCAGGATGTCTCCTTCAAATTTGGGACCTTTTGCCCCCATTCAGGATGTCTCTAATGGTGGTGGAAGAAACGGCCTCACTGACCAAAGAGTTTCCTCTTACCTGTCGGCGGGACCGCATTGCACACTCTTCCAGAGTCTCTGCTGCTTCCAGCTTGCCCTGGCGCCGGTATAAACGCTCCAAGGTTTCGAAGGGTGGTGTTCACTGTCGGGCTGGAGGAAGTTTAGACACAAATTATATAAATTCCAAATAATGTCCACAAACATTATGACTATATAGGTGAGGAGTAGATGAAGAAAACGTATAAGAATATGCCTAGGATCAGTGGGTAGGACAAAATGAAGGGCTATGAAAGCTCATGAGATCAGTGGGTATTAGCAGCACTCAATGAAGGGCTATGACAGCTCAGTGGTTACAATTCTAAAATACAGAGACAGTACACAGCAACGGTTAATGCAAAAAAAAAACACATTTGGGGGGCAATGAATTTGAATTATTATTATTACTACATTACTTATTTGGGGGCAGAGACCTGAACAGAAGACACTTACCTGTTTACTCTGCAAGCTTTGTACCAACCCCCATATTCAGAATACGGTTTGTACTGTCATTATGAGGGGTCTGTTTGGAAAAAAAAAAAAAAGACACAAAAAGGGAGCATTAGACAGACAGCAACATAGGACACAAAGAGGGTAAACAATCGGCAGACAAGGGGGGGAGAGCAGCCAGAGGCTGACACGGAGGGAAGGGTGAGTGTTTGACCAGCCAGAGGCCGACACGGGGGGTGGGGTGTTTGACCAGCCAGAGGCCGACACGGGGGGGGGGGGGGGGGTTTCGACCAGCCAGAGGCCGACACGGGGGGGGGGGGGGGGGGGTTTGGTTCTTTGACCAGCCAGAGGCCGACACGGGTGGGGGGTTTGGTTCTTTGACCAGCCAGAGGCCGACACGGGGGGGGGGGGGGGTTTCGACCAGCCAGAGGCCGACACGGGGGGGGGGGGGGGGGGTTTGGTTCTTTGACCAGCCAGAGGCCGACACGGGTGGGGGGTTTGGTTCTTTGACCAGCCAGAGGCCGACACGGGTGGGGGGTTTGGTTCTTTGACCAGCCAGAGGCCGACACGGGGGGGGGGGGGGGGGGGGGGGTTTAGTCTTACAATTCTAAAATACAATTGTTTGACCAGCCAGAGGCCGACACGCAGGGGGGGGCGGGCGGCGGCGACAGGCCGACACGCAGGGGGGGGCGGGCGGCGACAGGCCGACACGCAGGGGGGAATTGGGGGGCGGCGACAGGCCGACACGCAGGGGGGGCGGGCGGCGACAGGCCGACACGCAGGGGGGGCGGGCGGCGACAGGCCGACACGCAGGGGGGGCGGGCGGCGACAGGCCGACACACAGGGGGGGCGGGCGGCGACAGGCCGACACACAGGGGGGGCGGGCGGCGACAGGCCGACACGCAGGGGGGGCGGGCGGGGACAGGCCGACACGCAGGGGGGGGCGGGCGGCGACAGGCGACACGCAGGGGGGGCGGGCGGCGACAGGCCGACACGCAGGGGGGCGGGCAGCGACAGGCCGACACTGAGACCAGAAAGCTGCCACACACAGCAAAATCACAACATACAGCCCATTTTGGGGACTTGGATAATGTCACAGATAAGATGGACAGGCAGGCTCCAATATCCGGATTTCCTGTATTGCTAACACAGTGATAACAGACTAGGGGGCCCTGTAGGCCTCACCTTGCTCATCTCCTCTCTTTCCTCAGCATGCATCCAGATGGGCTTGTGGTCATCTGCAGAACAGAGAACAAGGGGTATTGGCATGTAAAAAACATGGAATTATCAGCAGCGAGGAACTGGAACAGAACTTACCATCCACCGAGCCAAACTCTTTTACATGAGCCTGTGTCAGGATGTCCTTGTATAGCTGTTCGGCGGCCTTATACTTCCCTTGTTTCAGGTAACAGGAGGCCTGAGTGAGAGAGATCAGGTGATAAAATGGTGAATGGGACATTCCAACACAACATACCAGATTCCTTCATTCAACACACCATTAAAGCAACACATAGGGATCCTTTAATACAACACACCGCCAATTAAATGCATTGGAACTCTTCACACAAACACACTAGTAATGGCACACATGGGATCCTTCAACATCACACTCTGCTAACCGATCAAAGCATAATCCCAACACAACACCGCCAGATCCCTCACATTACACATCTGAAGGTTCTGCTGATTTCAGAATGACAAGTATTGTCTATAAAAAGGAGCCCCCTCCCTCCCTTACACTCAGCAGAAACTATCAGCAGAATAAGACCCACGCCTGAAGAGCGTCCCTCACCTCATCATAGCCACCATACCGCTAAAGAGCACCCAACCTACCAGGACGTATTTTAGGCTCCAGGTGAACATGGCCATGTCCTATAACCCTTTATACTCATTGCGATTTAAAAGACAACCAGTACCAAAACACACACCAGGTTATTCTTTGTTTTGGCAACATTTGGGTCGTCAGGACCGAGTCGGGCTTGGTAAATCTCCAAAGCGCGGCAGTAATAGTACTCCACTTCGTCGTACTTTCCCTGGTTCTGACACAGGAGAGCAAGATTGTTCAGCTGTTTGGCCACATCTGGGTGATCCTTCCCGAGGACCTGGAAACAAAACAACACAATCTAAGCATGTTGAGGAAAGAGGGAAGCCAGAGATCAGGACATGCATGGCACAGGGAGAGTGGGCCAAAGAGCAGGGCATATGTAGTTGGGTTGATACCCAATACCAGTGCATTCATGAGAGGGTGAGAGGTCAAAGACTGGGGTATGCATCACAAGGGAGAAAGACCAGGGCATGTGTCACGGAGGAAGCAGGCCAAACATCACAGGGAGAGAAGGCCAAAGACCAGGGGATGCATGACAGGGAGAGAAGGCCAAAGACCAGGGGATGCGTGACAGGAGAGAAGGCCAAAGACTAGGGGATGCGTGACAGGAGAGAAGGCCAAAGACTAGGGGATGCGTGAGAGGGAGAGAAGGCCAAAGACAAGGGGATGCGTGAGAGGGAGAGAAGGCCAAAGACTAGGGGATGCGTGAGAGGGAGAGAAGGCCAAAGACTAGGGGATGCATGAGAGGGAGAGAAGGCCAAAGACTAGGGGATGCGTGAGAGGGAGAGAAGGCCAAAGACTAGGGGATGCGTGAGAGGGAGAGAAGGCCAAAGACTAGGGGATGCGTGAGAGGGAGAGAAGGCCAAAGACTAGGGGATGCGTGAGAGGGAGAGAAGGCCAAAGACCAGGGGATGCGTGAGAGGGAGTGAAGGCCAAAGACCAGGGGATGCGTGAGAGGGAGTGAAGGCCAAATACCAGGGGATGCGTGACAGGGAGAGAAGGACAAAGACCAGGGGATGCGTGACAGGGAGAGAAGGACAAAGACCAGGGGATGCGTGACAGGGAGAGAAGGACAAAGACCAGGGGATGCGTGACAGGGAGAGAAGGCCAAAGACTAGGGGATGCGTGACAGGGAGAGAAGGCCAAAGACCAGGTCATGAGTCACAGGGAGAGAAGGCCAAAGACCAGGGGATGCATCAAAGGGAGAGAAGGCCAAAGACCAGGGGATGCGTCAAAGGGAGAGAAGGCCAAAGACCAGGGCATGTGTTTTGGGGGAAGCAGGCCAAAGACCAGGGCATGTGTTTTGGGGGAAGCAGGCCAAAGACCAGGGCATGCGTCATGGAGGAAGCAGGCCAAAGACCAGGGCATGCGTCACGGAGGAAGCAGGCCAAAGACCAGGGCATGCGTCACAGAGGAAGCAGGCCAAAGACCAGGGCATGCGTCACAGGGCGAGAAGGCCAAAGACCAGGGCATGTGTTTCGGGGGAAGCAGGCCAAAGACCAGGGCATGCATCACAGGAGAGAAGGCCAAAGACCAGGGCATATGTCACGGAGGAAGTAGGCCAAAGACCAGGACATGCATCACAGGGGTGAAGGAGGCCAAAGACCATAACATGAAAGCAAGAAAGAGAAGAGGCGAAAAAACCAGGGCCAATGTTGCAAGAGAGAAGATATAAATGCTATAGCACATATGGCAGGGAAAGCAGGTGGGGCAGCTGACCAGATCACATGTCGTAAGAAACACACACACGACCTAGAGAATAAGGTGGAGGCTTTTTTTTGGTTTGGGGGCAGAATGGGAGCCATTAGCACATAGAGGTTCTGGAAGGAAACAGGAAGAACAGAGTCTGGTTTTACCTTCTCTCGGATTTCCAACGCTCTCTTGCACAGAGGTTCAGCCTCTCGATATTTTCCACGCTTGCCGTACAAGACTGCCAGATTATTTAAAGTTGCTGCCACCTACAAAAAAAAAAAAAAAAAAAGAAAAAAGAAAATCAACCCTGACCACAGTAAATTTCCAAGGGCCCCAAGTTTTCATTCATCTAGAAATGTCTGGTGTGCCATCCAAACCATCAACAAGCAAAGATCTTTTCACACATTAACCTGCTGACCTGGAGGTCTCACTAAGGTCATAAACGTGCATATTTTGAACATATCATAAACCAGTCCCATAATCAGTGAAAAAAGAAGGTGCTCTCGTGTGTGACGGGAGTGACTTTGGGTGGGGGGGGGGGGGTCCATGGAACACAGCTCACTTTGGAGGGGTGGGGAGACCCCTGTCTCAGCTCCCCATATCCCTCCTATGTGTAAGTCACCCTGTGCCTGTTAGGGGTACAGGGTGGAATGTCCTGATATTGTGTAGACATGTATAGGTGGGGTGTGGGGGTTGTTTATTGTTTACTGCCATATGGTGCATCCCATTGTTCTATTGTGTGTTTTGCTTGGGAGCAAACTATTATGGGATGTATGTGTTTGTGTATTGGCTTGGTAGGGGGGGTGTCTGCTGATGTGTCTCTGGTTGCTAGACTTGGTTTGCCCACCCGGTGTCCATATGCATGGAGGTGGGTTGTTCCCTTGAATGTTTATATCTTGTGTTTGTGTTAAAATAAAGCAGTCTATTTCCTGAGTTATTTCAAGTCTGGTGCTGTCTCGTCTTGTATGGCCAGCGGTGGTGTCCGTGGATCTGTGTTTGGACAGGTAAGCGGGAGTCTTACGGAAATACCCTAGTGCAGTCGAGGTCCGGTTCCATTATATCGTGCTTGTGTTCAGATTTGGAATCAATACCATGATTAGTGCTCCATTGTGCTCAACAAAAGTGCCCCATATGGACTGACACTCATCCTCATTCAGTGACCATCTATCTCTAGAGCGGTCATTAATACTTTGGGCACTTCCTGAAGACTATGTTTGATCGAAACGCATCGAGGTTTGATGGCGCAACTTTCGCCGACCTCACAGACGCCCTTTGGAATGCACGCTGCTCCGAGTAGCAATCAGGTCAGCGGTTTCCATCTTTGATTCACAACAAGGCTGAGTACACCAGGTGTCGGGCTTTAGGCACTTCTCTTATATGTGTATATTTATATAATTACCACCCAATAAAAGTACCAAACAGTTTTACACTATGGGATGTTCCCTTCTTTTTCTTCATACATGGCGATACATTTCTTTGCTGCTTGCGGAGATAGCAAACTTTTTGGAAATTGTTCCTTATATGTCCCGGACAGCCCGAAGGATAGATGATCACAGGCTAAAGGATCCGGGGGCCAGTGGCTTACTGGGATCTCTAGAGATAGATGGTCACTGAATGAGGGTGAGTGTCAGTCCATGGGGCACTTTTGTTGAGCACAATGGAGCACTAATCAGGATATTAAATACAAGTTGAACACAAGCACCTTCTTTTTTCACAGATTGTGGGACTGTTTTACGATATGTTCAAAATATGCACGTTTATGACCATGTGTGGTTCATGTGTTTAACTTCATCGCTACTGTACAGCCGCCAGCAGTAATTGTATGTAAAAAATCTGTCAGGCTGGTCATACTAAAAAGTTGATTGATGGATCGCCTTGGGTACAACCAGCCAGTCCACACATGGATTGAATATCGGCCAGTCCCTGCTGAACAGGCCGATTTTTGATCAGTGTATGGCCAGCTTAAATCATCATCTACTTAGGTCTGGCTTTCCTGCTCATCCACTGTCTGCCATGGGGTTCCCAGATTGTGTATTATGTACTACTGGATGGCCCTTGCCTTTCCTGCTCCCCCAGACTACCTGCCATGGGGGGCCAAATTGTGTATTACGTACTGCTTGATGGTCCTTACCTTTCCAGCTCCCTCACGGCCTGCCTGGCAGGGAGGCTCTGGACTGGGCATTAAATATTGCTGGGTTGTCCTTGCTTTTCTTGCTCACCTACTGACCACCTGCCATGGGGTGCCCTAGACTGCATTTTCAAAACTGCTGGGTGGTTTTTGCCTTTCCTGCTTCCCCACTGACTGCCTACCCCAGATTATGCATTACGTACTGCCGGATGGTCCTTGCCCAGGGTCTTCTCTCGGATTGATAAGGCATCGTTTAAGAGATGAGCAGCCTCTTTGTATTTGTTCTGGTCCCGGTACACCAATGCTAAGATGTTCAGCATGGTGGCCACGTCAGGATGGTCATGTCCGGAGGTTTTCTCCAGGTCTTCAAGCGCTTGTTTGCAGAGAGGTACGGCAACTTCGTAGCGCCCCTGGGAAGCGTACTGGATTACAAGATTGTGCAGTGTGCGAAGTCGTGCTGGAATCTCATATCCACCTTGCTGGGCAGCTGCAGCTGCTGCGCTGTGCTGGTGAGAAACTGAGAGGAACAGAAGCTTAATTTCATGATCTCCAATATATTTCATGACCTCTAAAAAAAAAATACTGCAGACCCTAACCCAAAATAACCAACCAGAAGGAAGACTGGTGGAAAACAGAGGAGAAGAAGATTCATTACCTGATCACCGATATATTTAATTATCACTGAAAAACACTGCGTACCCTAACCTACAGGGACCAACAAGATGGAGAACTCATGTTGAGGGTACAATAGAGCAGCCTTTCTCAACCAGGGTGCCCAGGCACCCTGGGGTACCTTGAGGTTTCTTCAGGGGTGTCTAAAAATTGCCCAAAATGTGTATACAATCCAGCGGTGGAACAAGCTTGCCTTTTAGTTGCACTAAGCCACGGGTTTTCATTGTGCACCATTACGGCCTTCTAGCCGCCGGCATCCTGACAATGACATCATCAACTGATAAGGAGGATGCCAGCTGCCTGCACAGCATCCTAGTTTGACCCTCCCCCGCCCCTTTCCGTCAGTGCTGGGGTCACATTAGCTCAGTGATGGAGAAAAACTGAGGGAGAGAAGAAACAATGGAATACTAGTCAGTACCAGTGTGCAAAAGTGTATTTGCGTTGGAAGAATAAATCACCTTTAATGTTGGGTGAACTATATGTGTGGATGTTGCTGCGTTATATAAACTATTAGAATAGTTTTTCACATTTTAGAATGGGGTGCCTCGGGATTATCCATCATTTTAAAGGGTGCCTCGGGACTGGCCATGTCCATCATTTTTTAAAGGGTGCCTCGGGACTGTCCATCATTTTAAAGGGTGCCTTGACTGAGAAAAAAGGTTGAGAAACACTGCAAGAGTTCCATTTACCCCTTAACGCCGGCCGCACACAAATGTGCGGCCTCCCGGCGTCTGGGCCTAGACGCCGAGTGGCTGCACATTTGCGTTCATGTAACAAAAAACATATGTGCTGAGAGCGCGCCCTGCGTTCTCCCAGCACACAAGTCCGGTACTCACGGAAAGGTCCCGGTCTGCTCTTTCGATCGGGACCTTTCCTGATCATGTGACCGCCGTGACGACGCGTCACGTCGGTCACATGATCCCTAAACCACACCCCCACCTCCCGGCATATGAAACTCTTAAAGGCGCCCGGCGCCAGCGGGCAGGGTTAACAATTCTTTCCCAGACGACTATCATCTCACCATTAGGAGGGGGAGAAATCTCAAAGCTTTGCCTTTCTTATGCCTGTCTTGCATAGTCAGTATAAATGACAGAACAGGAAGTGAGGGGGTAATACCCCCAACAGGGACACAATTTTTAGTCGAGGGAGGAAAGTCTGATCTGCTGTTAGGATTTTACTGCTGTCTGTGTCTCGCTTCCTAACTGAAATACAGACAAACATGTGAGACGATATCTGCCCAAAGGGAACATAGAGGAGGGAAAGCTTCAGACTTCTGTCCACTGCTGTCTATCTACAAATCAAAAACAAATTTTTGGACAAACCTAGACTGTAGCCTCCCTAGCGGTCTGATTATGTCCATATTTCTGTGCTCAAAGCGGTACTTTTTTTTGCATGGAAATATGTAGTTTTTTATTGTAGACCTGTAATTTTTAGGAATAACTCACTGAAATCTGTCCGAACAAGAGTCTAGTAAACATCCCGGGGATGATAAAACTTGAAACACGAAATCATAAATTATAATTTAATAATCATAAAAAATAATAATAATACATTTAATTCAATAATATAATCAAACCAAAAACACTGAAATTTGAAATAGAGCGCCAAGTTCGCACATCGCTGAGCAAAGTCGCAGAATCGTTTTCAGTGTCTGATGAGGAATTTCCCCCACCAATCATTATCACTCAATTCTGCAAGTGGTTCTGATTTACTATCGCTGTTCTCTAGCCGGTCTAAAACCGCTTTTGACCTAAAGCAGTGTTTCTCAACTCCAGTCCTCATGGACCCCCAACAGGTCATGTTTTCAGGATTTCCATTATTTTGCACAGGTGATTTGATCAGTTTCACTGCCTTAGTAATTACCACAGCTGTTTCATCTGAGGGAAATCCTGAAAACATGACCTGTTGGGGGTCCATGAGGACTGGAGTTGAGAAACACTGACCTAAAGGGACGCTTTTTGGACGCCATGGACGTTTCTCAGTTTCCAGGCAGAAAGAACAGTAAAAATGCAGGCAGGGCGCCGGACAAAGCACTCGGGACAAAATGTATGTGAAATGGTTTGATACAGGAATGTTATACTATGTGATTTTAGTGTATTTAGTGAATTTCACTTTTTGTCATTTTTGAATTTCCCGCCAGTTCCGTCCCCCGTACGTCCCGACATCACAGGGAACGGAACCCGGAAGACAGATGCCGGCATCGCCCGGAGGACATTGCCGGGGACACTGCAGGGGGGACATCGCGGGAGCGCAGGACAAGGTAAGTGAAGAAGAGATCCCGGAGCAACGCTGCAGTGTATTCCCGAGTGTAGCTCGGGGGGGTTACCGCTTGTGGTGCTGAAACTTTACCCCGAGCTACACTTGGGAAAAAGGGTGGACTGACCATTCGAGCACTCCGGCACTGCCCGAAGGCCCGGGGTCAATAGGGAGCCCCACGAAATGCCCCTGGTACCTTTTTTATAGGATTTTGAGTTTGGGCAAGGACACAGGGGCCCCATGATCCCCTATTGCCCGGGGGCCCCATGAGTTGTCAGTCCGCCCCTGCTTGGGAATACCGCCAGAGAGGTTAAAGAGACCCCGTATCTTGGCCCATGTATACGTCCCCACCCTTGCTCCCTCACCACCTCTCTGCACTGCAGGAGCCCCTCTAATAAAATGGGACTTCCATGTAGAGGGTAGTAAGGCTGGCCTTAAACTATACAATTTTCTGTCCAATTTCTGCCCAGGTTCTTTTAGCTTTACCTTCACCTATAGGGCAGGGGCCTGCCTCATTGGATACAAATGAAAGTGTTTTTTAGGTTGGATCTCATATTATATGGATTTTGGTAAATCTAAAGCAAAATTCTCACGAACATTGTATAATGTGTGGCCAGCCTAAATATCGTCCCCAACTGAGCAGCCAATCACCAGGCCCAAATACTGTCAGATTGTCTGCAATCCATCTAAGCCTGAATACAGGTTAAAGTGGAGGGACAACAAGAGCACATTGCTACGTTCGTATACATGCCTGGGGGGGACAATGACAATGGAACAGGATCTCTTAAAACTGTATCAAAGCCCAAAAACAAAAATGTAATATAATGCAACTTGCCGGCCCTTAGATGTGGTGGCTGTATTCATTTTCTTCAGGCTTTTGTATATATCATCCCCTGGTTATCCTGTTCGTAACAAACTTCCTGTCCTAGGGATGACAACACTGTACCTATGGCTGTTGTCACTCTAGGACAGGACTACAGAACACCTCCCCTTCTCCATTATATTGGAAAGGGGGGGGGGGGGGGGAAACTAAGTAACATATTGTGCTTGTGGGCACTACAATGAATGTTAATTCTATTTTTTTGGGGTTGATAAACCGCTGTGCTAATATAGTGTGACCCAAAAAAATTTTTTTTTAACTATCTCCATTTTATTTCCCAAGGTTTCTGCTTTCAGAAGATATATCATAATTAGAGGGTAATTTTAAATCATCTATCTACAGGCCTAAAATTTTTTTTTTTGAACTTATGCAAAAAAAACAAAAAAAAACAAAACAAAAACTGCCCTAGCAGTGAAACTGTTAAATTTTGATATTCTTTAAGTGCCTCCTCTCACAAACTCCTCAGTACACACAGGAGGCAGAGTGGTCGGTGTAACATCATCTTCTAATACTCACTTCCTTGTCCAGAATCTTCTTCCTCATTTGGGAAAAGTTCGTCCAGGTTGTCTTTAGCAGATTCGCCTTCCTTCTCCTCCTGCGGAGAACAGAACAGTCCATGACACCCATGTCTACACCGTACGACACACGACAGAGCCCTGGGCGTCGTAAGGATTTCTTTCAGATATCAAGGACTCACCGGATGTGATAACGCCATATGACCAACGAGCAATAAAGGACATGTGTGCTAACCAGGCCGCATTGTTAGTTTGGTATTTTCTGAATGCAGAGATGAAATCAGAAGCACAAAGAAGGCCTATTACGTCTGAATAGAACGTGTAATAATATTAACCCCTCGCCCTCCAGTAGATTTACTCCCCTTCCTGACCAGGACATTTTAGCGATACGGCGCCGTGTTACTTTAATTGACAATTGCGCGGTCATGCAACGCTGTACATAAATGAAATCTATGTTATTTTTTCCCCACAAATAGAGCTTTCTTTCAGTGGTATTTGATCACCTCTGCGTTTGATTTTTATTTTTTGCGCTGTATAAAAAAAAAAAAAAACAAAAAAAAAAAAAACACAATTTTGAAGTATTTTATATATATATATATATATATATATATATATATATATATATATATATATTTTTTTTTTTTTTTTTTTTTAATTATTATTTATTTTTTTTTATTTTTTTCTTACTTTTTGCTATACAAAATGAAAAAAATTAAATTGTCATAAATTTAGACTAAATATATTCTGCTTCATGTCTTTGCTAAAAAAAAAATCCCAATACGTGTATAATAATTTGAAAGTGAAAGTTAAAGCGTCTACAAATGGCGGTATATACAGTCAGGTCCATAAATATTGGGACATCGACACAATTCTAACATTTTTGGCTCTATACACCACCACAATGGATTTGAAATGAAACGAATAAGATGTGCTTTAACTGCAGTCTGTCAGCTTTAATTTGAAGGTATTTACATCCAAATCAGGTGAACGGTGTAGGAATTACAACAGTTTGCATATGTGCCATTTGTTAAGGGACCAAAAGTAATGGGACAATTGGCTTCTCAGCTGTTCCATGGCCAGGTGTGTGTTATTCCCTCATTATCCAAATTACAATGAGCAGATAAAAGGTCCAGAGTTCATTTCAAGTGTGCTATTTGCATTTGGAATCTGTTGCTGTCAACTCTCAAGATGAGATCCAAAGAGCTGTCACTATCAGTGAAGCCATCATTAGGCTGAAAAAAACAAAACAAACCCATCAGAGAGATAGCAAAAACATTAGGCGTGGCCAAAACAACTGTTTGGAACATTCTTAAAAAGAAGGAACGCACCGGTGAGCTCAGCAACACCAAAAGACCCGGAAGACCACGGAAAACAACTGTGGTGGATGACCGAAGAATTCTTTCCCTGGTGAAGAAAACACCCTTCACAACAGTTGGCCAGATCAAGAACACTCTCCAGGAGGTAGGTGTATGTGTGTCAAAGTCACCAATCAAGAGAAGACTTCACCAGAGTGAATACAGAGGGTTCACCACAAGATGGAAACCATTGGTGAGCCTCAAAAACAGGAAGGCCAGATTAGAGTTTGCCAAACGACATGTAAAAAAGCCTTCACAGTTCTGGAACAACATCCTATGGACAGATGAGACCGACATCAACTTGTACCAGAGTGATGGGAAGAGAAGAGTATGGAGAAGGAAAGGAACTGCTCATGATCCTAAGCATACCACCTCATCAGTGAAGCATGGTGGTGGTAGTGTCATGGCGTGGGCATGTATGGCTGCCAATGGAACTGGTTTTCTTGTATTTATTGATGATGTGACTGCTGACAGAAGCAGCCGGATGAATTGTGAAGTGTTTCGGGAATATTATCGGCTCATATTCAGCCAAATGCTTCACAACTCATTGGACGCTTCACAGTGCAGATGGACAATGACCCAAAGCAGACTGCAAAAGCAACCAAAGAGTTTTTTAAGGGAAAGAAGTGGAATGTTCTGCAATGGCCAAGTCAATCACCTGACCTGAATCCGATTGAGCATTTCACTTGCTGAAGACAAAACTGAAGGGAAAATGCCCCAAGAACAAGCAGGAACTGAAGACAGTTGTAGTAGAGGCCTGGCAGAGCATCACCAGGGATGAAACCCAGCGTCTGGTGATATCTATGCGTTCCACACTTCAGGCTGTAATGGACTGCAAAGGATTTGCAACCAAGTATTAAAAAGGGAAAGTTCGATTTATGATTATTATTCTGTCCCATTACTTTTGGTCCCTTAACAAGTGGGAGGCACATATGCAAACTGTTGTAATTCCTACACCGTTCACCTGATTTGGATGTAAATACCCTCAAATTAAAGCTGACAGTCTGCAGTTAAAGCACATCTTGTTCGTTTCATTTCAAATCCATTGTGGTGGTGTATAGAGCCAAAAATGTTAGAATTGTGTCCATGTCCCAATATTTATGGACCTGACTGTATACACTGGAATTTTTATTTTTATTATACTAGTAATGGCGGTGATCAATGACTTATAGCAGTACTGCAGCAGGCATTCTGACACTGCGTGGTAACTAACTGCCACAGACATCCCCAGTGACACTAATACAGTGATCAGTGCTAATAAAAAACACTGACACTACTGACACTGGGCAGGAAGGGGTTAACATCTGAGGCAATCAAAGGGTTAACTGTTTTACTAGGGAGACATGCTGCGCAGAGATACAAAGCAGCATGTCCATGCTGACATGAGAGAGACATGTGTTGTTTACGCACAGGTCTCTCCAGTCAGTGCTGCCGACGATCGCCGACTGCTGGCCGGGACCCGGTGATTGACATCCTCAGCCGTCAATAGTGAATCTTCAATTACCCTCCCCAAGTGGCAAGGAGGAGACGGGAGTTTTTACTTTGGTGTAGATAGAATAGAGGGTAAATGGCACAATGAGTGCCGTGTGTATACTAATAAAGGGAGTCCAGGAAAAAATCCATAAGTCCAACTGGAACATCCAGGGCGACTTCTTGTTGGCCTCAGACACTTGATGCAGCACCTCCTTAGAGACAGAAGTGGCTCTCAGTGAATAAGAGGATGGGATGCGATCGAAGTGAAATTTATTACTACACTTAGATTGTGCTCCATCCTCTCCCTATTTGTTTTTACTGTGGTGTTGGGGGAAACGTTTGCACCTAAATTATTTTGCCAGGAAGGGGACCAGGAGATGCCCCTAGGGTTGTCATTTTGGTGATAAAAGCATAAAATGAAAGGTTTTTTATATTATCGGTGCTTCTCCTAAAGTGATTCTAACAGCCCAGTCACACCGGGTGTGACTTGCAATGCGATTTGCCATGTGAGTTATAAATCGCATGGCAAGACGCACCCTGTTGCCCGCAATTAAAGCGGAGCTCCACTCATCCTGTCAAAAAATAAAAGTCAGCAGCTACAAAAACTGTAGCTGTTGACTTTAAAAAAAAAAAACAAAAAAACAGCCACTTACGTAAGTCCCTCGGTCCCGTGGTGTGTCCCCTGCATCTTCAGTGTGGGCAGCTGGCTGTGATAGCTTGTGGCTTCACAGCCGGGTACCCACTGCGCATGCGCGAGTAGCGCTGCGCTTCATGAATGGTCCTGTAGTCTTCTGGGACCTGTCACGTGTCCCAAAAGACTACAGAGAGGGAGGGAGGACACCTTCCGCTTCCGATCGCCTAGGCAATCGGACCGGAAGTGGGAGCGGGTACCTGTCAAATTCGGGTACCCGACCCCAAAGGTGCCAATCCTTAATGGGGAGCAGTCCTTAAAGCGGAACTTCCCCTTTTGGGTGGAGCTCTGCTTTAAAGAGGTCATATCAGTGTGATTCTGACTTGGTTGGAGCCGCACCGATTTCTTTAGTGCATGTACTACTTCAGGTGAGACTTGCATAGACAGCAGTGACATCCGACTTTGAAATCATGTGACGTCACTGGAAGGATCATTGTGACCGAGGACAAAAGGATTTTCTTTGTTTTGTTTTTTTTTTTTAAATAACCAACATGTCTATACTTACCTGCTATGTGCAGTGGCTTTGCACAGAGCAGCCCGGATCCTCCTCTTCTCAGGCCCCCCCCCCTTCCGCCCCGCAGGCTCTCCTGGCCCCTCTCTCCTGTTGGGAGCAGGAGGGTGCCCCCACAGGGGGGATGCCGCACACAGAAGGCTTTTTACCTTCATACATAGAATGCATGAAGGTAAAAAACCTTGAGCCTTGCCCCCCCAGCGGCCCCGCTCCCTCTCTCTTCTCATTGGCTCACTGGCTGTGATTGACAGCAGTGGGAGCCAATGACTCCTGCTTCTTCCCCAGGAAAGTCCCAAGATAGCTGGGACTCCAGTGCACGTCGCTGGATCAAGAGGGAACTTAGGTGAGTATTGGGGAAGGGGGGGGGGGGATGCCGCACACAGAAGGCTTTTTACCTTCATACATAGAATGCATGAAGGTAAAAAAACTTGAGCCTTGCCCCCCCAGCGGCCCCGCTCCTTCTCTCTCCTCATTGGCTCACTGGCTGTGATTGAAAGCAGTGGGAGTCAATGGCTCCTGCTTCTTTCCCAGCCAATGAGGAGAGAAAGTCCAAAGATAGCTGGGACTCCAGTGCACGTCGCTGGATCAAGAGGGAACTTAGGTGAGTATTGGGGGGGGATGCTGCACACAGGTTTTTTTACCTTCATACATAGAATGCATGAAGGTAAAAAACCTTGAGCCTTGCCCCCACAGCGGCCCCCCGCTCCCTCTCTCTTCTCATTGGCTCACTGGCTGGGCCAATGGCTCCCACTTCTGCCCCAGATAGCTGGGACTCCAGTGAACGTTGCTAGATCAAGAGGGAACTTGGTGAGTATTGGAGGGGGGGGGATGTTGCACACAGAAGGATTTTTATCTTCATACATAGAATGCATGAAGGTAAAAAACCTTGAGCCTTGCCCTCACAGCGGCCCCACGCTCCCTCTCTCTTCTCATTGGCTCACTGGCTGGGCCAATGGCTCCCACTTCTGCCCCAGATAGCTGGGACTCCAGTGAACGTTGCTGGATCAAGAGGGAACTTAGGCGAGTATTTTACCTTCATACATAGAATGCATGAAAATGAAAAACCTTGAGCCTTTAGAACCTGTTTAAGGAGGAGGAGTTATTGATGTTCTCATTGTACAATTTCCTCCCTCATCATTGGTCGTATCCGGCCAGAACTCCGATCCCCGGCTTACCGTAGGTGAGACGTCCTCGTCATACTTCTTCAGTTGGTTCATGAACTCCAGATGTTTCTTCTCCTCCTCCAGCTGGGCCACGTTCTGCTCACTGTGCTGCAGCTTCTGCTGGGTGTTGGCCAACTCATCACGGAGCCACTGGTTCTCCTGGCACAGACGCCTCACCTGTGCCCGTAACTTCTGCTTCTCCGACTCCACAGCTGTCAGGTGATTGGAGAGCGCCATCATCAGCTGCAACATAAGAAGAGGTCAGCGTTAAAGTGGAACCTTGGACCTTGCACAGGGTTTGCTTATTCAACATGGCCCCCCTCCTTCTTCCTTAAACATGAGATAAACCTGCGGAGGGACAAACCAGACCAAATTCTGCTACCTATATTGTTGGAAACAACACGAATAAATGTAATGTGTAATAATTATTATTATTATACAGCGCGCCAACAGTTTGCTCAGCGCTTTACATTATAAAAGACAGTACAATTACAATACATTTCAGTACAGAAGGAATAGGAGGGCCCGGCTCGTGGAGCTTACAATCTAAAAGAAGGGGGAGGTGATACAAAAGGTGATAGCTGCGGGGCAGAGGTGATTCCAGTACCATTCTTAGGTGGAGGTGGAGTAGGCTTCCCTGAATAAGTGAGTTTTCAAAGATCGCCTAAAGGCAGACAGGGTGGGGGCTGACCGGACATACTGGGGTAGGGAGTTCCAGAGGATGGGAGAGGCTCTGGAGAAGTCCTGGAGGCGAGCGTGGGAGGAGGTGATGAGGGAGCTAGAGAGGAGGATATCATGGGAGGAGTGGAATGGGCGATTTGGGTGGTATCTGCGGATGAGGTTGGCGATGTAGCTAGGGGCAGTGTTGTGGATGGCTTTGTAAGCTGTGGTTAGTATTTTGAATTTTATACGTTGGGTTAGTGGAAGAATGAACACAGAGCAGATGTAAAATAATCACTTATATCATACTTGAATATAAAAAGTGCAAAATGAAATAGCTGCTAGCACCTAAGGTATCGGTAACTGTCCCGATGTAAACGTATATCCTAAACGTGCAGCGCTGTAAACTCATGAAACGTAAATATCTTATATCATACTAGAATATATAAAGTGCAAACAAGTGCGTGAATAGTGCAATCAAATAAATAAATGAATCACAGAGTCCTTGACAACCACAAATATTATAGAGCAGGCACTTTATATATTCGAGTATGATAGAAGATATTTACGTTTCATGAGTTTACAGCGCTGCACGTTTATGATATACGTTTACATCGGGACAGTTACCGATACCTTAAGTGCTAGCAGCCATTTCATTTATCCGTAATTTATTTATTTACATAATTTTACATATAATTTTTTAAAACTTGCTTTTATATGCTCTTTTTGTGTGAATTTATCATACCCTACAGTACTAACGACTACTAGGCATAACACTACCTATGACAGTGATTCTCAACCTGTGGGTCGCGACCCCTTTGGGGGTCGAAGGATCCTTTCACAGGGGTCGCCTAAGACCATTGGAAAACACATATTTCCAATGTGTAAAGAACAGCTGCTGCGTAGAAAGCAGCTACTGCGTAGAAAGCAGCTACTGCGTAGAAAGCAGCTACTGCGTAGAAAGCAGCAGTATTGAAGGTAAAATGATACTTCATGAATTATAATTGCTGGGTAAATAATTTTATGGTTGGGGGTCAACACAACATGAGGAACTGTATTAAAGGGTCGCGGCATTAGGAAGGTTGAGAATCACTGACCTATAAGATCTCATTATATGCGATTTCTTTATATAGTAAAATAATGTCGTATTGCCTGGAGTTCCGCATTAATAATGGCATAATGAAAAGTTTTTTGGGTTGTCAACCAGTGAGGATACATAGGACAGCCGGCACAGTAACATATTTATTTCAGGTACTTATATAGCGCCATCCATTTACGCAGCACTTTACATATATATTGTACAGTCACATCAGTCCCTAACCTTCAAGGGGCGTACAATCTAAGGTCCCCCTCTGCCTATCCCTCCACTGGCTCCCTATCGCCCATCACATCAAATTCAAACTACTCACTCTGACCTACAAAGCCGTTCACAACACTGCCCCTGACTACCTCACCAACCTGATTCCCAAGTACCACCCTACCCGTACCCTTCGCTCTTCACAGGACCTCCTTCTATCTTGCTCCCTGGTCTCCTCCTAACACGCACGTCTGCAAGACTTCTCCAGGTCCTCCCCCATCCTCTGGAACTCACTACCCCAATCCATCAGACTGTCACCTTCCCTCCTCACCTTCAGGCGCTCCCTGAAAACCCATCTCTTCAGGGAAGCCTACCCCACCCTCACCTAACTGCTGCTCTCCTTCATTCCTCCTACCACTCCATCCCCCACAGCCACTTCCTCCTGTACCACCACCCCCTCCCTCCTAGATTGTAAGCTCGAAAGAGTAGGGCCCTATAACCCCTCGTGTGCTGTTTGTAGTTGCTGTAATGTTTCATGTATTGTCCCCCCCCCCCCCCCTCTATTGTACAGCGCTGAGCAAACCCTTTGGCGCTATATAAACTTAATGTAATGTAATGTCCCTAACTCACATTCATACATACATATACTAGAGCCAATTTAGACAGGAGCCAATTAATCTACCAGCATGTCTTTGGAGTGTGGGAGGGAACCGGAGTACCCAGAGGAAACCCACGCAGGCACAGGGAGAACATGCAAACTCCAGACAGGTGGTGCCGTGGTTGGGATTTGAACCGGTGACCCTAGTGCTGCCAGGCAGAAGTGCTAACCACTTAGCCACTGTACCGCCCCAATATATGCAGAAGGTGCCATCCTGGCAGTGGGCATTAGATGATAAAAATATGATTTACCAAAACAGACTCGCCACCACCGACTGTACTCATATGTAGACATCTGGAAATTGTAGACCCAACAACACTGGCTGCTGCTCTGATGGCACAGGCCCGTCCGCTGGCGTAGCAGCGGTGGCAGGCCCGTCCACTTGCCCGCCAGTAATGGTAGAGGTCTACCTCTACCTGATGAGGACGCTCTGGCTCTACAGGCCGGTCTGTTGGTGATGCAGCTATTGGCAGGAGACAGCAGTGATAGCACATCCTGGCAATACTAGTGACTCAGGACTCCTCTTATTCTTAACAAGGTCAGCAAATACATAATTAAAGCTGAACGCTGGGCTGGTTTCTAAACTTTCTTTCTTTTCTAAATTGACCTAGCTTCTAAGTAAATTATCTCATTAAAGTCAGTGATACCATCGCTTAGAATGAGAAACCACAGCTACACCCAGGCACCAGGACAGCCTCTCTCAACCAGGGTACCTTGAGGTTTCTTCAGGGGTGCCTTGACAAAATGTCTAAAAATTGCCCAAAACTTGTATACAAGCCAAGCGGGTGGGACAAGCCTGCCTTTTAGTTACACAAAGCCACAGGTTTTCATTGTGCGCCATTACGACCTTCTAGCCACCAGCATCCTGACAACCAATGGCATCATCAGTTGATAAGGGGGATGTCAGCTGCCTGCACAACATCCTAGTTTGACACTCCCCTGTCCATCAGTGCTGGGGTCACATTAGCTCAGTGATAGAGAAAAATTGAGGGAGAAGAGAAACAATGGAATACTAGTCAGTACCAGTGTGCAAAAGTGTATTTTTTTTTGGAAGAAAAAGATCACCTCTAAGGTCGGGTGTCCTACATGTGTGGGTGTTGCTGCGCTATATAAAATTATAAGAATAGTTTTTCACATTTTAGAATGGGGCGCCCCGGGGCTGTCCATGAATGGCAGAGGGCGCCCCGGGGCTGTCCATGAATGGCAGAGGGCGCCCCGGGGCGGTCCATGAATGGCAGAGGGCGCCCCGGGGCGGTCCATGAATGGCAGAGGGCGCCCCGGGGCGGTCCATGAATGGCAGAGGGCGCCCCGGGCGGTCCATGAATGGCAGAGGGCGCCCCGGGACGGTCCAGAATTTCAAAGGGCGCCCCGGGACGGTCCAGAATTTCAAAGGGCGCCCCGGGACGGTCCAGAATTTCAAAGGGCGCCCCGGGACGGTCCAGAATTTCAAAGGGCGCCCCGGGACGGTCCAGAATTTCAAAGGGCGCCCCGGGACGGTCCAGAATTTCAAAGGGCGCCCCGGGACGGTCCAGAATTTCAAAGGGCGCCCCGGGACGGTCCAGAATTTCAAAGGGCGCCCCGGGACGGTCCAGAATTTCAAAGGGCGCCCCGGGACGGTCCAGAATTTCAAAGGGCGCCCCGGGACGGTCCAGAATTTCAAAGGGCGCCCCGGGACGGTCCAGAATTTCAAAGGGCGCCCCGGGACGGTCCAGAATTTCAAAGGGCGCCCCGGGACGGTCCAGAATTTCAAAGGGCGCCCCGGGACGGTCCAGAATTTCAAAGGGCGCCCCGGGACGGTCCAGAATTTCAAAGGGCGCCCCGGGACGGTCCAGAATTTCAAAGGGCGCCCCGGGACGGTCCAGAATTTCAAAGGGCGCCCCGGGACGGTCCAGAATTTCAAAGGGCGCCCCGGGACTGTCCAGAATTTCAAAGGGCGCCCCGGGACGGTCCAGAATTTCAAAGGGCGCCCCGGGACTGTCCAGAATTTCAAAGGGCGCCCCGGGACTGTCCAGAATTTCAAAGGGCGCCCCGGGACTGTCCAGAATTTCAAAGGGCGCCCCGGGACTGTCCAGAATTTCAAAGGGCGCCCCGGGACTGTCCAGAATTTCAAAGGGCGCCCCGGGACTGTCCAGAATTTCAAAGGGCGCCCCGGGACTGTCCAGAATTTCAAAGGGCGCCCCGGGACTGTCCAGAATTTCAAAGGGCGCCCCGGGACTGTCCAGAATTTCAAAGGGCGCCCCGGGACTGTCCAGGATTTTAAAGGGTGCCTTGACTGAAAAAAGGTTGCACTAGAAGGTGAAATGTTGATTTCACTTCCTGTCACTGTGCCACTTAGACAAACTACAACCCCAGTGAAGCTATGAGAAAAATAGCTGCAATAGGCATGACAGGCCTCGAGTGCCGGGTTCACATATATGTGGATTGGATGCGTTTGGAACTGCATCCAATCCACATGTCATGTGAAATAACATTGCTTCCTATGGTGCCTGTTCACACATGTCCAGTGCACTGGCAGTGCAGATTCAGTACGGATTGAAAAAGAGTCCTGTCCGATTTCTGAGCAGAGCGGTCCAGTTCAGGTACGGATTACAAGCTTTTGACTTCTATGGGAACCGTTTCCAAACCGTGCAAACCTGATGTGAACCGCTGATCAACTGCTGTATCACTTAGCTGTGAAACCTGAAATTCAACCCACACCGCACATGTGTGAATCAGCACTGAGTCTCCTGGCCTGTCAACCACGGCAAGTCAGTACAGGTGTCCTTTGGCCTGTCAATCAAGTTTGGTCATGTTAGTAGGTGGGCAGACCAGGAGTCGGAAATGCCAGAATCCTTCCCTGCTGGTTAGGATGGAACTACAAATGTATTCTGCAGGGGCTGAAGCATTGGATTCACAACGAGTAACATATTTGTAAAAGGTAAACAATAGCCCTTCGACAAATGCGTAAATGTTTTTGCCCAGAGTTCAGCTTTAACTCAAGGTATACGCTAGGACTGGCTGGATTTTTTGGAGGTTGAGGTTTGGGGATCTTTGAGGACACTTCATTGTCCGTGCTGGAGAGGGCACACCTCGGGGGGATCCGTGCTGGAGAGGGCACGCCTCCGGGGGATCCGTGCTGGAGAGGGCACGCCTCCGGGGGATCCGTGCTGGAGAGGGCACGCCTCCGGGGGATCCGTGCTGGAGAGGGCACGCCTCCGGGGGATCCGTGCTGGAGAGGGCACGCCTCCGGGGGATCCGTGCTGGAGAGGGCACGCCTCCGGGGGATCCGTGCTGGAGAGGGCACGCCTCCGGGGGATCCGTGCTGGAGAGGGCACGCCTCCGGGGGATCCGTGCTGGAGAGGGCACGCCTCCGGGGGATCCGTGCTGGAGAGGGCACACCCGGGGGGATCCGTGCTGGAGAGGGCACACCCGGGGGGATCCGTGCTGGAGAGGGCACACCCGGGGGGATCCGTGCTGGAGAGGGCACACCCGGGGGGATCCGTGCTGGAGAGGGCACACCCGGGGGGATCCGTGCTGGAGAGGGCACACCCGGGGGGATCCGTGCTGGAGAGGGCACACCCGGGGGGATCCGTGCTGGAGAGGGCACACCCGGGGGGATCCGTGCTGGAGAGGGCACACCCGGGGGGATCCGTGCTGGAGAGGGCACACCCGGGGGGATCCGTGCTGGAGAGGGCACACCCGGGGGGATCCGTGCTGGAGAGGGCACACCCGGGGGGATCCGTGCTGGAGAGGGCACACCCGGGGGGATCCGTGCTGGAGAGGGCACACCCGGGGGGATCCGTGCTGGAGAGGGCACACCCGGGGGGATCCGTGCTGGAGAGGGCACACCCGGGGGGATCCGTGCTGGAGAGGGCACACCCGGGGGGATCCGTGCTGGAGAGGGCACACCCGGGGGGATCCGTGCTGGAGAGGGCACACCCGGGGGGATCCGTGCTGGAGAGGGCACACCCGGGGGGATCCGTGCTGGAGAGGGCACACCCGGGGGGATCAATCTGGAGAGGGCACACACTGTAAGGCACTACTATGTATTGCAGTGGTCTGCACCGGAACATACGGTGCAGGTGTGTTTTTAGACCTCTATGGTGCCTTCGCAGCCTATTCATACAAATGGGGTGCCTTAACACAACCTAACTGAACAGAAAGGTGTAAACGGGGCCTTAAAGAGGACCTGTACTGTGGATAATAAAAAAAAAAAAAAGGCAAGCGGATGGCAAGGGACTGATCAGCAGTATTGCCCGTGGTCCTCATTCAGCTGATCTTTTAGCAAATCTTCACTTTTTGAGTTTAGGCCCACTTTAACTGAATCTCCAGGAGCCTAAGTGGGTGAGTTTTGGGCTTGTGGCAATGTCATCAATTGCAGACACTTTCAGAGGTCATTCAGAATTCACTGACAGGTGCATTCAACCTGCATTCATCTCCTTCTGACCTGCATTTGTCCCACTGCAAGAGAGTTTTGCTTTTCTATAGACTTGCATGGGACTGCAGAACTCGCTTGAAGTGAATGAAAGTCCATCAACACGGCCCTAAATCTGCCATGAGCAAACCCCAGGGAGCTCGCCCCACTTCCCCCACTAGGACCGATTATCTGCGGGTAGCAGATATCCTAGGGATGAACGGTTAAAACACTCACCTGTGCCTCACCAAGCCCGAGCTCAATCATTTCCACGGACTTGCGCAGGAGACCCGACTTCTCGTGCACCAGATTGGCCTCCTCATCCTTTTTGAGACATTTGATGGTTTCCAGTAGACTGTGCAGGATGGAGTTGTGCTCATTGCGGAGGGCCTCCAAACCTTGCATTACCAGCTTGGTGTGGGAGATGATCTCCTCCTGTGACAACTTGTCCAGCTTCTCCTCTCGGGGATACATCATTACTGACATGTCCCTGAAAAAAAAAAAAAAAAAAAAAAAAGGATAGAGATCAATGACTTGTCCCTAGAAAAACACAGAGATACGAGGTACATCATCACTGCCACGTTCCTGGAGATACATGGTACTCTGTCAATGTCATGTTCCTGGACACACAGACATGTGGGGTACATTATCACTGACATGTCCTTGGAGACACAGAGATACAGGGTACACGGTCATCGCTATGCTACCGGACAGAGCAAGATCAGGAGTACATCTGCACAGCTTCCTTCTCCAACATACCAGGCCCATCTCCACACTTTTCTCCTTTGACCCTGTTCCCATTAAGGAAGGTGCCAAACTGCCCTGGACCCTGTTCCCTCACAACTACTACAGCCCACCCTCCTTCTCTGTTCTACACTCTCTCACATCTTCGGTCTGGCCCTCTCCACTACCCATGCTTAAAAAAACCCTTGATGGACCCCACAACTTTGAACAACTTAAGACCCATCTCTCTGCTCCCGTTTGCCTCCAAAGTTCTTGAATGTCTTGTCCACAACTGTACCAGTTGCTACCTCACTGATGATCTTCTTGACCCCCTACAGTCTTGCTCCTTCACACAACATTCCATTAAAACAGCCCTACCATAACCAATGGCCAATACTCATTCCTCAAGGACTTTTCTGTCTTTGATACCTTCGACCACCAAAAGACTCCACAACTCTGCTCTTTCCAGGTTCTCCTCCTACCTACCTCAACACACTTTCAGTGACACCTACAGCTCTATCTCCTCTTTCTGTTGGGGTACACAAAAGCATGCTTCTATTCTCGCTCTACACCTCTTTCTTGGCCCAGTTGATAACTTCCCATGGCTTCAAATACCACCTTTATGCCGAAACACCAAAATCTATATCTCTCTACTACCCGATCCCCTCTGTTCTCGGGCCCTTTCTCTCTACACTGATCCAGGTTCTCCTCCTGTCTGACGGAATGTTTGGTGTCACCTAAAACTATTACTCCTCTTTCTGTTGGGGTACTCCAAATCTCTGTTCTCAGGCCCCTTCTATTCTCGCTCTACACCTTCTCCTTGGGCCAGCCGATAACCTCCCATGACTTCCTATATCACCTCTACGTTGATGACGCACAAATCTCTCTCTCTGCTCCTTGGTCACCTCTGTTCTCGGGCCCCTTCTATTTTCGCTCTACCCATTTTCCTTCGGACAGTTGATAACCTGCCATGGCTTCCAATTCCAAAACCATCTCTAAAATCCTCACATATCACTCATCTACTGAGTGACGTATCGGTATGCATGCCACACCACTTCCTCAAACACAGCTTGGAATATTTCCTCCCCATCCTCTTGAACTTACCATTGAGATCAATAGCACAACTATCAGTCCTACCAAACATGCCATAGTGCTAGGTGTAATCCTAGATTCTGACCTTTCCTTCAGGCCCTACATCTAGTAAGTGGCTAAATGTTGTGGCCCTAACCTCTGTAACATTTCCAATATTTGATATTTTTAATGAACACCACCACAAAGCAACTAATTCACATCCAGCTTACCGCCTGCCTCAACTTTTGCAACGCTCTTCTCACTGGCCTACCTCTACATAGGCTATCCCTTCAGTCTATCATGAATGCTGCTACTAGACCCACCTTACCAAAATGATCTGTAACTGCTGCCCCTCTCTGCAATCCCTCCACCGGCTACCACTAGCCCAACGTAAACATTCAAATTACTATCTACAAAGCCATCCACAAACTCGGCCCCCAGCTTGACCACCAACCTCACTTCGAAATACCACCTAAAGCACCCACTCCATTCCTCCAATGACCTTCTGCTCTCTAGCTCCCTCGTCCCATCACATCCTCCCATGCTTGCCTTCATGACTTCTACAGAATCTCTGCCATGCCCTGGAACTCCCTACTCTAATCTAATCTCCTAATCTGTCGATTTTAGGCAATCCCTAAAAGGCCATCTAATCAGAGAAGCCTACCACACCGCCACCTAAAAACTGTACTTTGACCATCTTCATCAGCCCATCCTCCCCAGATATCACCTATTGTACTATTCCCCCCTCCCTTTTAGATTGTAAGCTCCACGAGCAGAGTCCTCCGAGTCCTTCTGTATTGAACAGTATAGTAAGTGTACCATCTCCCATTACATTGTAAACTATTGGCGCTATATAAATCCTGTAAAAGAATAATCAACACCGCCATGTCCTTGACGATGTAGAGATATGGGGTACATCTTCACTGATATGCCACTGGAGACCAAGAGATACAGGGAACATCATCACCACACTGTACCTGGAGGCACAGGGAACATCATCACCACACTGTACCTGGAGGCACAGGCCTCATCATCACCGCGATGTCCCTGGAGGCACAGGCCTCATCATCACCGCGATGTCCCTGGAGGCACAGGGAACATCATCACCACACTGTACCTGGAGGCACAGGCCTCATCATCACCGCACTGTACCTGGAGGCACAGGCCTCATCATCACCGCGATGTCCCTGGAGGCACAGGGAACATCATCACCACACTGTACCTGGAGGCACAGGCCTCATCATCACCGCGATGTCCCTGGAGGCACAGGGAACATCATCACCACACTGTACCTGGAGGCACAGGGAAACATCATCACCACACACTGTACCTGGAGGCACAGGAATCATCACCGCGATGTCCCTGGAGGCACAGGCCTCATCATCACCTGTCCCTGGAGGCACAGGGAAACATCACCACACACTGTACCTGGAGGCACAGGGAACATCATCACCACACTGTACCTGGAGGCACAGGAAACATCATCACCACACTGTACCTGGAGGCACAGGGTACATCATCACCACACTGTACCTGGAGACAGAGATACAGAGGATATCATCACTGCCATGTCCCTGAAGACACAAGCCTCATCATCACTGCCGTGTTCCTGGAGACACAGAGATACAGGCCACATCGCCACCGCTGTGCCCCTGGAGACACAGGCTTTATCATCACCACCGTGTTCCTGGAGACACAGAGATACAGGCTCTATCGCCGCCGCGTCCCTGGAGACACAGGCTCCATCATCGCCGCCGCGTCCCTGGAGACACAGGCTCCATCATCGCCGCCGCGTCCCTGGAGACACAGGCTCCATCATCGCCGCCGCGTCCCTGGAGACACAGGCCCCATCATCGCCACCGTGTCCCTGGAGACAGAGATACAGGCTTCATCATCACCGCCGTGTCGCTGGAGACACAGGCTTCATCACCACCGCCGTGTCCCTGGAGACACAGGCCTCATCACCACCGCCCTGTCCCTGGAGACACAGGCCTCATCACCACCGCCGTGTCCCTGGAGACACAGGCCTCATCACCACCGCCGTGTCCCTGGAGACACAGGCCTCATCACCACCGCCGTGTCCCTGGAGACACAGGCCTCATCACCACCGCCGTGTCCCTGGAGACACAGGCCTCATCACCACCGCCGTGTCCCTGGAGACACAGGCCTCATCACCACCGCCGTGTCCCTGGAGACACAGGCCTCATCACCACCGCCGTGTCCCTGGAGACACAGGCCTCATCACCACCGCCGTGTCCCTGGAGACACAGGCCTCATCACCACCGCCGTGTCCCTGGAGACACAGGCCTCATCACCACCGCCGTGTCCCTGGAGACACAGGCCTCATCACCACCGCCGTGTCCCTGGAGACACAGGCCTCATCACCACCGCCGTGTCCCTGGAGACACAGGCCTCATCACCACCGCCGTGTCCCTGGAGACACAGGCCTCATCACCACCGCCGTGTCCCTGGAGACACAGGCCTCATCATCACCGCCGTGTCCCTGGAGATACAGGCTTCATCATCACTGCCATGTCCCTGGAGACACAGAGCTACAGGCTTCATCATCACCACCATGTCACTGGAGACACAGAGATGCGGAGTACATAGTCATCACTGTCATGTCCACGGAGACTCAGGTTAGGGGAGGAGATCAGCAGGGTGGTGCAGACAGACATGTGAAGGGGGCTGCACAGGCCCAATGCACTGAGCACTATGGGATCCCCACAGGACTGAAACAGTCTGTCACAGTGACTCCCTCTACTGGCAGTCTGAGGGGGTGACAAGCAGAGCACTGTCAGTGGGGGGTGTGATGGATGATAGGTGGGCGATGGTGTCAGAGAATTAGAACAGAAATTGGCACTATGCCTCCATGCCCCCCCCCCCCCACCCCCAATTACTGGTACTATTAACCCTTTGTGCGCCCCCTATCCCTAGGGCTGTTAACCCTTTGTGCGCCCCCTATCCCTAGGGCTATTAACCCTTTGTGCGCCCCCTATCCCTAGGGCTATTAACCCTTTGTGCGCCCCCTATCCCTAGGGCTATTAACCCTTTGTGCGCCCCCTATCCCTAGGGCTATTAACCCTTTGTGCGCCCCCTATCCCTAGGGCTATTAACCCTTTGTGCGCCCCCTATCCCTAGGGCTATTAACCCTTTGTGCGCCCCCTATCCCTAGGGCTAATCCCTTTGTGCGCCCCCTATCCCTAGGGCTATTAACCCTTTGTGCGCCCCCTATCCCTAGGGCTATTAACCCTTTGTGTGCCCCCTATCCCTAGGGCTATTAACCCTTTGTGCGCCCCCTATCCCTAGGGCTATTAACCCTTTGTGCGCCAATCAGCCCCCCCGCCCCCCCTATTACTAGTACCATAAACATGAACCCTTCATGCACCCCTTCTCTCTATCACTGGCACCATTAGCACTGTGGGCCCCCCTTACGTGGCACTAGTGCCATTAACCCTTGGTATGCCAGCCATGACTGACTATCTTCACCCCCCTATCCCTGACACCGGTTATATTACCCCTCCAAATGCTGCCTGCCACCATTGGCACCATCAACCCTCCTCATGCCACCATTCTCCATGTACTAGCAATCATTATCAGTGCGACCGATAACTAACAGTGATGCCACCAACCTCGACACGTGGCACAATTAACCCCTCCTGTGAGCAATCCCTGACCGGGTCACCGTTAAC